TTCTTGAACTTTCGGTGAACCTGAGATTAAACAGGGGTGAGCAGCTAAGCAGTTTGTTGTTAGCAGCCTTTTCAACAACCCTTTCAGACTGAGTAAATATTGATCGGTTTGAATCTGATTGCCCCAGAGGAAAACACCACCGCATCTGAATAGCCTCCAAAAGTAAACTTTCAAAGGTGAAGCCCAGAGCAGACTTCAGAGTCACAGCAAGCTCTCAGCTCATCCTAGTTTGGGGACACCCTGAATTTTAGGAGTACTTTGGTTGAATATAGAGAAGGTGAATAAAAAGGATTTGAAAACTAATTTTATATTGAATTATCCAGGTCCGTAATTGGGACACTGGTTTTTTTCTTAAATTTATACATAAAATATTATTTTCTATTTTCCTTTTTTATGTTATTTCAGTTACACTTGCTTTCATTAAGGAGCTGTGCTCCCCAGAGACCAAAACACAAAAAGAGAGACCTTGAAATAGGATGTGTTAAATGCCTTTGATTTAATCGATTGGGACAGCTAAAAAGATACAAATGTTTTCCTTGTTGAAAGGTATATTAATGTTTCCTAAATGCATTGCTTGTTAACTGATTTATTCTATGACATAAAGAAGGCTAGTGTTTAGGCATAATTTATTGTTCTCCTCTCTCGCTCTCAGCTACATTAAAATCAGCACCTAGAAGATTGGAATCTCTGGGATTCCAACGGGTTGGCCCTGCTTTTAGATATTGAAATCAAGACAGTGGCATGCAAATGACACTTTAACACATTAAAGTATTTGGAAACCAGCCATCTGTTTTGCTGTGTGGCCTTACACTAATAAACAAAAGATACAGTACAAGGCCAGGCGGGAAATGAAAGAAGGGTTGGCTGTCTTTGAAGTTCTCCATCCACTTCAGTCTTTTAGAGGCAACCTCAGAACCCAGCAACTGAGGGAGGGCAGCCGGTGCCCTTGATATGGCCGCTGTCCCTGCGCCTACAGAGCCTGGGCTTGGCGCAGTAACAGAGCAGTGCAGGAAATCTCGTGGGTACTCTAGAAAGCCTGCAAATTCCAAGTTTTTGTAGCATTTTCTTCCCAGCCCATCCTTTCAAAAAACCTTTGGGAAGGAAGGAAGTCATATGTCTCTGTTTATTTGGGATGTTGTAAAATTTCTGCTGTGCTCTTAGGGCTCAAATCCTCCAGATATGTATGAAAGTAAAGGGAAAGTGGCGAGAGGTCTGGGAGGAGAAGCACTTTGAACTCTTATCATGTGCTGGTCTCCTCTGTTTCAGCTCTGAGGCATGCTTTGGTCAGAAATTACTTGGATATTGGAAGACCAAGCTAGCTTCCACAGTTCATCTGAAAGAACTTATTGAGCCCAGCAAAGAAAATGAAAACTTTTTTTCTGGGTTATGTGGCAAGAAATTAGAACTGTGAAGCTTGAGCAGTCATGATGACTATGAAATCAAAGCTGAGTCTCAAGGGAATGAGATGTGTAACCCAGAGATGGGGGTGAGGAGGAGCAGGAAAGGATGGATGTTGACAGGAAGAATGGGGGAGGGATGCAAGGGTTTACTGAAAACAGACCGCACTCAATTTAAAGGGTGAAATATATTGGAACACTGCCTGACAATCCAAAAAGAAGGAAGAGGGGTGGAGTGGGGCCTCAGCCTCACAAGAGCTTTATACTGGAGCTAATTAAATGTGAATCTCTTCGCTCTTGGTTCACTGATGTGAGGAAAGACTGACTGAAGACAGTTTCAGCTTTTGAAGGAGGCTCTGTTTATATATATGTCAACATTCAGTTGGAGGTGAAAAGGTTAGTACTTGACCCAGGAAGTATCCATGTTTGTTTCACAAATAGATCTGCTTCATAAATTTTTTCACTATTCTTTTTTTTTCATTATAAACTTCAATTATAATAAAGGAGCTATTGTTATTTTAAGGAGAATCAATGCATTAAATAGACATTGGTTATGTGAAACTACACTCATAGGGTAAGTTTCAGCTACATGATAATGGCAAGCACTTCCTTTTATTCAAGAAAAGGCCTACTTCATTGAAAACACACACCATCCTCCACATAAAATGAGCCAACTGTGTATGGTATGAAGGAAGAAACTGTAACCCAGCCAAATACACAGATGCTTAAACATACCTGAAACTTGACTATATTTATTACAGACATTGTAAGACCCGTAAACTTTGCTCTGGATCACATCACTTCAGGATCTCAGAGATGTTCATGATTGTACAGGAAATGAGGAGGATGATAGGCTTACAAAGAACAAACTGATAGAACTCAGTGTGGTACTTCAGGGACATCAAAACATTGTGCGACATGCAAAAGACTATTCACGATTCACACAAAATATACATTCATTGTGCCATCCATCACATTAACAATTGAGCTGAAAATACACCATATCCAGCTAAGATTACTTTGGAAAGAGGTTGATTTGAATAATACTTTTAGGTTCTGGGTAAACCAGCACAGAGTTGAAATGGAGGGTGGCCAGAGAAACAAGAAGAAAAGAGTGGGGGTGGGAAGAGATTTAGCACAGGAAGCGCAGTTTCTGAACCTTGTGCTCTCCAGGCCTTCTGAAGTCACCAAGAGAAGAAATTGAGGCTATCATCTGAGCATCTGATTGGGTTTCAGTGAGGGAATTTATTCTTTTACCCATAATTACATATAAAATTGTACCACTTTTGAGAGTTTCTCCACCCTGTCTGATTTAGTCACCTAATCTAAACATCTCTAGAAAATTTGTATAAAGATAAATCTCTTAGGACAAAGTATTTACAGTCAGCAAACTCACACACAAGAAACTGAATTAAATTAAGGATGAATTAAGTGTGTAAACACACTCATAGTGCATCTCTTCATGAGCTCCTCGACTCTCTCCTTTCTACTTCTAAGGGTAAGGTAAAGGAGGGCTGTAAATATACAGTTAGATAAAACGTGAGATGCCTCCCTCTGACAGGTTTCTGCTGGCAAAGAGAGCTACTTTCCAAAGGGCATCTGAAAGGAACAGCAGGTTCTGTGAAAAATCTCCTAAAATCAGAGAGGGACGTTAGGGGTCATCAGAAATTGATGCTGGCACCCAATCTGGATTAAGGAGTTAACCCCCTACTGTGTCTTTGGCGTAGAATTATCTGGAAACACATTATCCTGGCCAGAAGCACCTCAGATAGGATCAGAAAGGGAGACTGTAAATGGAAAGAAAGATAAGCTAAGAATGTGCTTTGGGTGAGGAATCCCAGCCCAAGGAGAGGCCTGGGCTGCCCAGTCTGGGGCTGGGGCGGCCTCAGTGGGAGGTAGTCAGAGTGTCTGAGGTAGAAGACCCCGGAGAAGGAACGCAGGGTGAGGAGCTAGATTTCTCTGAGGATTCCTCAGCCTTTTCGTCGCTTCCGGGCGGGGTGGCCGGTGAGATGGGCAACAGCCCCTCTTTCTCACGTTTCTTCTGCTTCATTCTGCGATTCTGGAACCAGATCTTCACCTGGGTCTCATTGAGCTGCAAGGACGCGGCGATCTCCACCCTGCGGGCGCGCGTCAGGTACTTGTTGAAGTGGAACTCCTTCTCCAGCTCCGTGAGCTGCTTGGTGGTGAAGTTGGTGCGCACAGCGTTGGGTTGACCCACATAACCATACTCTCCAACTTTCCCTGAGGTAAAGTGGGAAGGGAAGAGAGGAAGAGGTAAAAATCCTAAAAATCAATAGGACATCGCCTACACACCTCAGAATGTTCGGATAAAGGGAGATTATGAACTTCTCAACACAAACCGGCCAGGGAGGCTGAGTGATGAGGTGAAAAGTGTTAACCTCAAGCCAGCCATTAGCGTGGTCCGATTAGTGATTAATGGAGCCTGGAGATATTAACAGAGCACCATCGCCACCAACACCACACACACACACACACACACACACACACACACACACACGAGTCCTACATCCAAAACATTTAAACCTCACACCCTTTGAAAATACACCAGTCCTAGAGACTTCTTTGCCCCAACATACCTGGGCACAGTCCCTGCACCCTACAAGCCTAGCCAGAAGCAAGAGACTTTCTTTTAAAAAAAACGATCGCTTTGGAAACTAAGCAAACCAGCTCCTACAGAATCATCAAGATGCATCCTCTGGCAGGCAGGACTGACCTGTTTTGGGAGGGTTTCTTTTGACTTTCATCCAGTCAAAGGTCTGCGCTGGAGTTGTCTCCGACGCAGGGGAGCGACAGGCTTCTTGGTGGCTGGCGTGGAGAGGGGACAAGGAGTTATTATACGTAGCCAGGGCCAGGCTCTGGTGCTCTTGTCCATATGAGTGGTGAATGTATTGAGGCGAGCCCGCCGAGCCCCCGGCATAACCCTGGTGGTGGTGGTGATGCTGGACCATGGGAGATGAGAGATTTCCAGAGTAAACTGCGGGCGCGCACGGGGGATACCCGCCACTTACATCTGCTTCCTGATTTAACCCGTAGGGGCTGTAAGACGCACCAAAGTTCTGCGCGCCATAGCTTGGACCACAACTCGAGTGGGAGTAGGACACCCCCAGGTTCCCAGAAGTCTGGTAAGTGGCCGGCTGGGGGTGGTGATGGTGGTGGTGGTGATGGTGGTGGGGTGAGTTGATTTGCACCCCTCTGCCCACCAGGAAGCGGTCGTCGCTGCTGCAGCTGTTGGCACTGACCGCGCACGACTGGAAAGTTGTAATTCCATGATCGGAGGGGTAGGCTCGCGCTGAGCAGGTCCCCGAGTCGCCACTGCTAAGAATGGGGTATTCCAGGAAGGAGCTCATTCTTGCATTGTCCATCTGTCACTGAGTGACCGTGTCCTGCGAAGCCTTGGGTGACCGTGCCAACTTTCTCACTTCCTCCATGGGGCCGGAGAAGAAAAATGATATGAATGTACAGTGCGCAAGAGGGGGGGCTGGAGGGCGGAGGGTGCAAGGGGAGGGGCACGTGACTTTGTCAGCCAATGGCTGAGGCTCCTGAGAAAGTTTGCCGGCTCCGGCGGTGATGGATCACCATTTCAGTGGCATTTAAATCCCTGGCGCTCCTCCGCCTAGGTGACGCGCAGTCGCCCCCCCAGGCAGCCCAGGCGGCGGTAGCAGCTGCGGTGTCTGCAACGGCAGATTCCGAGCGCTGGGGCCAAGGGGAGCAGAGGCTGCCTTCTGCGTGCGCCCGACGTCGTTCGCCCCCCTCTTCCGGGAGGTGGGGGCTGGAAGGCATCCCCCAGTTCCTGTCCCTCTCCCCGCCGGGCTCGGAAAGACGAACAGGCAAGAGGTGAGACGGGTAGAGGGTTCCCGACTCTCCTGGGGCGGGAATCGGTGGGCGCAAGTACCCTGGCTGAGCCCAGCGCGCTCCAGGCGGAAAGGGTCGAGATCGCGCCCCTGCGCGCCCCAGGCTCCAGGGCGCTTTCACTGCACAGCTCCTGCCGGGAGGCCGTGGCGTTGTGAGGAGCTCAGAGAATGGTGGCGGAGTGCGAGGCTCTCCAAGCTCGGAATGGAGAGGGCAGGGCTCAGAAGACGATCTAGGGGGGACGCCGGTGGGTGTGGAGGGGATGAGGGCAAGAAAAGAAACTTCCCTTCTCCCTAGAGGGTCTCCCCAAGCCGCGATCGTCATTAGCATGGCAATGAGGAGCTTCTGTAATTCGACCCCCAGGGCGGATGAGCTCTTGCTTTGGAGCTAGCTGGAAAAGGCCCAGCTTGGCCGGGCTCTTCTCGGCCCTCCCTCTTGCTTCGCCCTCCGCCCCTTTTCCCTCCCCATTCAGCTTTGCTCCTCCGGGATCCCGAGCTACTGGGCCGCTGGAGTTTGAGGGGTAGGAGGCGGGGGAGAGAGATGACGATAGCAGACGTGGGCAGCGTGGGGGCCGGGCCGAGCGCTGCAGGCCATCTGCTGGCTCCTCAAGACCCTGGAGCCTGTGCGCTTGTGCACAGGCCTCTCTGGGTCGGACCACGACTCCTACAGTGTGCTGAACTCCCCGCCCCCTCCCCGTCAATTTCTCTTGTTTTGGAAGGGGATGTTAGGAGTGAGAGAGCCTCCTCTTTCCGGCGACCCCCCACTCCGCTACTGTACGCTTGGAGTGGGGGTGGGGACTGGCAGGTGGGAGGGGCCGTGGACAGATGGCTGAGGGTGAACTAGACACTTTCCTCTTCCCCAGCAATATCTCTCACCATTTCCAACGGACTGTGTAGTTGCTTGTGTGAACCCTCAAGTCTTTCTCCCCAGAGACGCGTGCAATTCTGAGTGTCATGCCCGGCCAGGGGTCCTGTCTCCATCACCTTCATCCTACAGTGATGCCGCTGGGGTCGTTAATTGCGGTTTACTATTAGGTTTTGTGTCACTCCCTGGGCTTGTAGAGAGAAAAGGCCGAATCCTGAGAGTGACAAATTCGTAAGTAGGAGAAATCCAGAGATTATCTAAGAAGCTTGTAGCCAGTGCTGCATAGATTTTACTTTGACCATGTTTGCAATATCAGATCAGAGAGATGAAATTAATAAGAAGGATTGTGTATGGATTTGGGATTCCAACTCTCCCAATTTCTCCTCATCTATTAGAAAAAGGCAGGCACATTTCAAATATGTTGGTCATCCTTTCAGGCTTCTGTGTTCGGTTCTCCACCTGTAAAAGTTCCCCCCCAAAACCCGTTCACTCAAGAGGGAGAGCCTATGCAGCAGACCCTTGGCTGTAGACTCCCTCAACAGCAATATTTTTTTTTCCTTAAACATTTCCTTTTGGAATATTTCACAGTGACCTTTGACCTACCTCCAAGCACGGTTTATAGGGAGCACCGGCTGCCAAGCCGCCCCCCCCCCACACACACACATACACACCCATTTCAGCTTCTGGGGATCTTCATACTGGAGAAGGAGGGGAAGGGCAAGGAGGCCCTCCTGGAGGAGGCTTCTTTGGGAGAACCAGCCCTCTAGCGATAAGAAGGGGTTGCTATGGGGCAGGGGCTGGATGTGAGGGGGTCGGTGGTGACGTGCAGGCGATCTGCTCTGCGAAGTGAACCTAGTCATCTCCCTCTTGCCTTATTCCTGTACCTTTGTGGGCCTCCGCCGCCGCCTTTGCACTCCCCTCCCCCCAGGCCTCAGGACGCCTGCCGCAAGGCCGCCCCCCACGCTACCCCTCACCAAGGGTTCAGCGGCTCTCTCGCCTGTGTGTTCTCGGCCTTCACACTCTTCTCCCTCCACCTCTTTTTCTCCTGGTCTCTTTTCTGCAAAACCTGGGTGGGGTGATTTCCTTGGGATCTCAAACTCGCACTCACTCATAGGCCCGCAGACACTCAGGACAACCACCGACCCGCCTCCGCTCGCGGCTTCTCGCAGCCCAGCGCTCTCAGCCAGCCTGCTCTCCGCCTCGGCGGTCGCCCAGGACGCCTCTCTCCCGGCGCGGCTCCCGGTGGCAGCTTCTCCTGGCCCCGAGCCCGCAGGCTCCGCTAGCTCAGATCCTTCCACAGCCCCCACTCCCGAGGGATCCTGGGGGGCATTCCGCCGCGCAGGGCACCCTTGGTCCTCTGGGCAAGTAGGGCAGCGACCCAAGACTGAGCTCAAGTCTCTAATCGCCCCAGGAGAGAAAGGCAAGCTTGGTCACGATTAAAATGACCGGCTGCTAGCCGCTTGCTCGGCTCAAAGCGCCTCTTACTGGGCTCTTCTACTAGAAAGAGAAGGAGCGAGGAGACAAAACGCCGAGGCCCCGAGCTGTTCATGGCATCCGCGGCTGAGCCAAGCTGTTGTTTTAAAAGAGCAATAAAAATGAATTATGACTAAACGCCTTCTAACTTAATGCTTTCGGACGGGGATCCCCGGCAAATACGTAAGAGGATTTTTATTTGTGCATGTGTTCCTGCAATTGATCTCTTTGATGACATTCTCATTCATAGAAAGAGTTTGATTTATGAGCTTAGAACGAATCGCATCCAGGAGCGGCGCAGCCCTGGCCGCAGCCGGACGCCTTGCTCAGCGGCTGGGAGCCTGGGCCGGAAACCGGCCGCAGTCGCGTACACTGCGGCCGCTGCCGGGATTTAGCGAGTGAAGGAAGGGGTGAGAGAAGGTAGGGAGCAAACCTGCGAAGAAAGATCGCGATTTCATTATAACTTTCAAGTCTTTGCTGTTAAGGGCTGGGTTCTTAACTCGCCCCACACACATGTTGCTGTATTTTCTCACGGTAAGTAGTAGCCCTCAGAAAGGGAAAAATAAACACGGGGAAGCATAAGAAGGAGGAAAAAACAGAACAGCTCATAACACACCCTAGATCACATTTTATTGATATTTCATTTAAAGTGCTTTTTTTCTCTTTCGCTGTCTAGGAAACTGGGTTAATATATAATATAATCTAGGGTGAAGAAACACTCCATTTTAAATCTCAACTTGCTAACCTGACTTCAAAGCTTTAATGATCCATTATTAGCAATGTAAACAGATTTAAGAATGAAATATTGATTTTTCTGACCCCGGGAAAAAAAAAAGGAATCCTAGAATGACTGAACAGACGATTGGAAAGAACCCTTCTGACATGCATTTTGCAGCAAGTAACCACTGTTCTGTTTTATTTTGTTTTTCTCTATCTTTTAGGTCTGTTTTGCCTGAACCCATCAACAGCTGGGAGATTAATCAACCACACGGAAAATGTGCGCGGGCTGGGGTGCCGAGGGGGGGTCGAATGTAGATGTTTCAAACAAATGTGTATAAATAAATGAATTGTTGATAACTTAGTTATTGACCTGGAGACTGATAGCTTGTTCAAGAAACTCCACTTTACTCATTCCTAGAGCTGGGGGTTTCTGTAGGCACTTTATTTCTCCACTTTCAAACGCTTGGGCTTGGCCCAACTCTTAGGCTGCCCAATCCTGTTTCTATTACTAATTTAAATCTATGGCTTGAGCCTCTACGTGAAAAAACAAAATCTATTTCCTTCAAAAATAAAAACAAAAGCCAAAAAACAAAAACCACTGATCAAAAGCCCTAGCCATTTTCTGGCTTTCTTCTTTGTTGCTGTCTATTGAAGACTTTAAACGTGCCACCTTAACAAATATATTAAAATTGAAAAAGAAGATAAATTGTGACCAGAATTTTATTTATCGAATTAGACTAAAAGAAGAAAAAGAAACCATTAAGAGCCTTGAGAAGGAGGGGGAGAAAAAAATAAGAAAGCTACTTATAGCAAAGGAGAATTTATTCTACCAAAAATACGCATGACAATGCATCCTAATGTAATACAAAAATAAAAAGAAAGTGATGTTACAATTTATGATCACTTTCTTGCAGGCCTCATATATTGCTTTCAAGAAAATCACATAGAAGGTTGTTGGATTAGGTTTAAAACAACAAAAATTCCAACACAATCTGTAAGAAATGGCTCTGAAACTGAGGAGAAATCAATGAACAGAAAATCCTCACCATTTAAAGGAGCAGGGGGAGGTAAAAAATAAAAACCAACTCCTGGAATAAAAGAAGGCAAAACCACCTGGTCAAAGGGGCTTTTGTTTTGTGATGCTTTGTTTTGCTTTAATGTTTTTAGTAATTCAGATGCTGCAAGTCGATTGTGGTGAGTGTGTCTGTAAAAAAGTCAAAGCTGTCAGCTGAAATATCTACAGGACTGTCGAGGGAACCTGGCAAACTGGGCGAGACTGCATCTGAAAGCTGCAGGCAGGAATCTGTGGAGAAAACGTTAAAGTCCTGCAAAGAAGGGACCTCGAGGGCCTCGGGACTGTCATTGTTTAGGCCAGCTCCACAGTTCTGGCCCATTGTTGACAAGCAGTTAGGAACAGTGGGTGACTGGTGCTGAAAATGTTTCAGATTTTTCTCATTGCTGGTTAAAGGCGAAACTGGGAAACTTTGGGAGTCGCCATTGTGTCCATTGGGAGCCTGCTGCTGGGAGAGGGCATTTTGCTGAAAAGTGTAACCTTCCCTCTCCAGAAGGGCCCCAGAGACGCTGAGGGCTTGCTCAAAGAGCGACTTCTCTTCCTCGTCCTCCTCCACTTTCTCCGAGTCCTCAAGGCTTTTAAATTTCCCGTCGCTGTTTTGGTTCTCCTTGCACTGGGTCTGCCTCTTGTGCTTCATCCTCCGGTTCTGAAACCACACTTTCACTTGTCTCTCAGTCAAATCCAGCAACGCTGCGATCTCCACCCTCCGGGGTCTGCAAAGGTACTTGTTGAAATGGAATTCCTTTTCCAGCTCTAAAAGCTGCGTGTTAGTGTAAGCAGTTCTCAGGCGCCGCGATCCCCCACCGCTGCCATCGGCGATTTCCAGGGATTCTGCGGAAAGGGAAACCAACAAGAGACACACGCACAGTTGGAGGTGGAGGGGTCCGAGCAGGGTTATTCCACTGGAGAATAAATATAGCAGAAAAGATCAACTGCAACAAAATGGCCGCCCCTGGATGCAGTAGAGCTATTGTGCTGCCTTTCCTGGGAGCCCAGCCTGGGGAAACCCCATCTCCTCCACCTCTATCAAATTCCCGTCTGTGGCTCACCCCAACCTCTTCATCCGGGAGCAAACTTTATATTAGCCACAACACAATTTATAATTAATGCATCAGCTGCTTAGCTGAGCAAGAGCGATCTATCACTCTTCATTACTGTCAAAAAGCCAAACTCTAGGACAACTAGACAAGAGGAGGTCAGTTCCAACTCAAATAAATCATCCCACATTACACAAGTTAGGGAAAGTTTCCCCTCCTCTTCCTAAAAATATATATGTCTCATTGTGGAGCGCGGGATCCCTTTCCTCTCCATCAAACCTACTCCTGAGCCCAGAGGGGCAGGAAAGAGGCAGCCAGGCATCTCTCCCTCTCCCCCTTCTCTTCCAGCCCAGGCTCCCCTCCCCCATACCCGCTCTCGGGGCAGCCCAGAGGGGCAAGAGGGTCCGGGGGACCTGGGGCCAAGTCTTTGGACTGACCTTTGTGGCTGAGGCAGGCTGGGCCGGTGGCAGCGGCGGCGGCGGCGGGCGGCAGAGCGGTTTTCTTGGCCGCCTTCTTCTCCTTCATCCAGGGGTACTCGGGCGGCTGCAGGGCGCCGGCGGGCACTGGGCTGCCGCGACTGCCCGCGGGGCTCGGCTTGGGGCGGCCGCCAGCGCCGTGGCGAGGGTGACTGCCCGGGTTCAGGCTGGGAATGGTCTGCTCAAAAGGAGGAGGAATCAGTGTCGAGTGTGAAAGCGTCGAGGTCTTGATTGATGAACTTTGAAATGTATCAGCGACAGGGGGAAAAGATGTCAGGCACTCAGCGAGCGACGGCTGGCTATTGATAAAACCAATCTCTCGCTCAAATTCGTAATTCATGGCCTTCTCCTTGGAGCCCCCTCGGAGAAAAAGTTCCCTCTTTTGGAGGGGCTTTGGGGGGGCAAGGCCCAGGAAAAAGGCGAGCGAGGAGGAAAAAAAAAATCTATCATAGAAGATCGCTGCTGGGGTGTTTTTTTTCTAATTCACTGATTACAGCCGTATGGGGACCGCGCTACTATTAAACTATTGAATTCATGGAGACAAGGTTGAAATTGGACCGAATTGGCTGTCACATGATTGCTTCTGCCCAATGACAATTTGGGCTTTAATCAAAAGAAGCCACTGTCTGTTTGATTGATCCAAAAAAGTCGGGAAGGAACGCCTCATTGGGGGCCAGCAAGGCTTTATTTACACTTTTTTCATGGCAAAAATACATATATGTGGGTGTGGGAGGAAATGCCCAGGAGTGCCCGGGTCCAGGGTGCCTGCCTGCCTCCTAATCAGCGAGGACCTAGTGTGTGCGCCTGGGAGTGTGCGAGTGTGAGCCCGGCTGCCGGTCCCTCCCGCGGCCGCCCTCTGCCTCCCCCGCACACTCCGCGCATTGTTTGGGACTGTCGGGAAGACGCCTCGCACCTCACAAATCATTTAAGCACCTCACTCTGACGCCTGCAGTCATTAACAAAGTAATCCATTAATCTTCAAAGTTTTGACACCCGAGGGCCCCCGCATCCCAGCCACATAAGTTCTGCTAAGGCAGAAGGAACACAGGGGAGAGATGAGAAAGGAAGAAAGAGAGAGGGAGGAGAGAAAAGAGAAAGAAAAGAGAAGAAAGATTTGGAGAATTCCCCTTCTCTCCCTTTCCTCCTCTAATTTTCTTAAAACCAGTAACTGAATCTCAGAACTGATCTCTCCATCCGAGACTCTCTCTGTCTCTCTGTCTCTGTCTCTCTCCCTCTCCTTTCCTCCCTCCTCTGTCTCGGTTTTCCTTCCTCTCTCATTTTCTCTTTCCCTCTTTTTCCTCCTCTCCGCTTTCCCCCTCCCACTCTCTTCTGTCCGCCTCTCCTTCCCCCGGCAGCCCCTCGCCCCCCTCTTAGTGTCCAGCCTGGAATCCTCGGGCCCATTGTTAGCTGGCTTTTCCACCGCAGCTTTGCATCTGGCTCCGGCGGGAAGCGGAAAACGGGAGGCGGCTCTCGAAGCTTCCCGACCTCCCTGCGCCGTCAACTTCTCAAGAGTGGCTGGAGAAACATAGATGCATGTACCAAGGGAGACAGCAACATCAGGTCCATGTGTCCAAATTCCCGTAGCCAGGGGCGGCGGCCAGCCAAAGAAATGCCGCCCCGAGCAGGCGCGTGCGGCTCCTGGCATTCTGGGTTTCATACCCATAGGGCACGGGTGTGGTGAGTATTTCCGATTTCCAGGAAGTCTGTTGGAAGTTATCATCAGGAAGGGAGAAGACGCTGGTTCCCCTCTCCTTTTCCCCCTACCCTTCTCCTTGTCCTTGTCGCTCTGGTTGGGGGCTGGTTGGTTCAGATGCCGCGAGGGTTCCTTGACAGTCTGAATTGCTTCCCACACCTTCCTACTCCTTGGGCACCAGAGAGGTTTGCACCCGGGGTTCTGTCGTGGGGAAGAGCATTGCCGGGAGAGGGCGACCCAAGGAGGATTATAAAGGTTCTCCTTCTTCGTTCTCTTTTTTCCCAATTCCGAGACTTGAGACTGAGTGTATCTTGGACAGTGCTGGAGGGTTCAAAAGATAACACTTTTAAATACCAAAAAGCTACCTTAAAATCATCAAGCCAGAAAGAAGGGGGAGAGAGACAGACAGACAGAAAGCTCTGAAGGCACCTCTTTCCGCCCCCCCCCCAACCCTGAGGATGGTGATTCGCTTTTGCTTCCTTTGAAATGGACCAAGTGATCAGACTCCTCCTGGCCCGCAGGCATCAGTGGCAGGAAAATAAATCATTCTGATGGCCAAGGAGAGAGAGGTTGGCGGGGGAGAAAAATACACAGAAAACAAGAAAGGCTGACCAAGAAGCAAGGGCAGGACTCCATCTCCAAGGCCTGCAGCAAAGGGAATTTGAGTTGAAAATGAGATATAAAGTGGCCTCCAACTTTGACCAGCTCAGAGCTTTGCCTTGCAGATAGAGATGGTATTTCAGAAAATGTGAAGTTTTTCAGTTTTCTTGCTTTTATTCCAAACAAAGCTCTGAAGGAAGTCTGGGTGCGATCAATCTTGCTCACCAAAAGCCTTGACAGCTTCTGGCCCTTAAGAACACATTTCAGCTTCGAGTTCTTTCCAAGATCAAATGTGTCCGAGCAAAGAGGAGAGCAGGAAACGCAAGTAAACAAGGAAAACCAGTCTTTTAAAAGACATATTTTGGCAGTGGTAAGGGTTATAGGGCTGCTTTTAGGAAAGGTGCTTTGCAGATTCTGGGATATCGGGCTTTGGGCATTAGCTTTTACCAGAAAATATTGAGGGGTGAAGGGGAGAAGAGTTGTAGAGAGGGAGCAGTGCTGCCTCCAGATTACTGGGCTTTGTCAGGGCTGCGTGGGTGAGAGCTTTCTGCCTGCCTCAGCTGCCTTAATTCAAATACCATCTGGAGGAAAACCTTTCTCTGAGATGGCTCAACATCGAAATCTTCCCCAAATCTATTACTTTAACTCAGGAGATATTTTAATAAGGATTTCTTTTTAATATCCAGGAAGCTGGGGGTGAAATCAGTATTTTTTCTTTGAAAGCCAAAATGAATGTCTTGACTGGCAAGATATGGGAAATCATATTAGAATCTCATTTTACAATCTCTGCCCTGAGGAAAGGAGGAAGGTTCTAAACCACTCTTCCTTCAGCTAAAGAGGAGATTTTTAGAAGTGATTTCGCATAGTGGTATCCCTGAAAGAGTTTCTTCTTTGGGTGGAGATTCATTCCGCACTTCTCTCTTCTCTCTCTCTCCCCTATCCTCCCTCTTCCTCTTCTTCCTCTTCTCCCTCTTCTTCTTTCTTCCTTTCCCCTCCCCTCCCTCCCTAGAGATAGTGCTCCTTATTTCCCCAGTTATTTTATACATGTCTCTAAAATGTTTACTTAAAAAGAAGACTTCTGTGCCTGCCCAGTCTGAATGACCAAAAGGCAGAGGGTCCAGTTCTCACAAAGACTGGTTTTCTGACCTCTGGTGGGCACCATATTTTGGAGGAAGGTTGGGGTGGGGGAAGCAAATCCATTTCATCCACAGGCCAAACTCTTTGAAGAGAAAATATGTACCAGGAACTGCAGAACAAATGTGAGGAAAGCACCTCTGGGTGTGAGAGAAACACCTAGCTCTCTGCAGCTGCCTGCTTTTGCATCCTCCTTGGATCCTTTTCCTTCTTCTTAAAACATGAAGGTTTCCTCAAAGCAGCTCATTGGGATGCAGCAAGTACCCAGAAATGTCTTCTGTGCCTGCTTCTAAGGAGCCTCTGAGGGAGCATGGGGGGTGGGGGGAGTAGAGGCCATGATGATGAATATTTTGGATTGCAAACAAAATGGCGACATTTTCACTTCTGCCTCTGAAAGATACAATCTAGGAAGGATGGGAGCTTAATTTCTTATATCAGATGCTCCTGATCCCCCAAATGCAGGCAGCTCCTCACTTCCAGCTCTGAGGGGGGCGATGATGGGGATGCAGCTCTGAGGTTTGCATTTTCTGAATTTGGTTCCTTCTCCGAGTAATTCTTTAATTTGAAGATGGAAATATTTCCCATTGTGACTGCCTCTGCCTCTGCCTCTGCCTCTGCCTCTGCCTCCGCCAGCCAGTCAGTAAGCAACCCTATCTTAAATCCAAGAGTGGAAATGTAATATTTCGCTCCTGTAGCATCAAATGAAAGAAGTACTTATACAATTGCATTTTTATTAGAAAGATACCAATCTCCTTTCTCTCTCCCCCTCCCCCTGGGGCCATAAAAAGAAAGCTGGGAGGGAAAGAGAGGAAATAAACCCAGAGAGTGGCAAATGCTAAATTCCAGGAGGAAACTGATGCTGGGATACAGGCAGTCCAAGAAAGGGTTCAGGGAGACTCCTGAGCTCAGCTTTCCTTTTGCTGGAGGCCTAGGAAAGTTCAGTCCCTTTGGCTCCATGTGGCGATTTTAAGAGCGATTCTTTCATCCTGGCGTGATAATGGACCGCAAAACATCCGCGAAGCAGACCAGGGATCAGACTGATTGTGGAAACTGCTCAGCATCCTCCAAGAGCTCAGGCGTAGGCTGGTCGGCTGAGACCCGGCGGAAAAGCGTGGAGGAGAAGAACGCCCGGCATTATCTCTCCCCCGGGCCTCGGGGCACCTGTGCGCCCCCCGCCGCGCCTAGAGCCGGGCTGCCTTTGTTTCTGCGGGACACTGCACTCCGCAGCCCTTGCGCCCTCCGCCTGCCTCCGCAGCAGCTGGGAATCAGGCTGCCCAGCGGGCCGGCCAGGCGGCGTTTCCAGGGCTGCCGCTGCCGGAACCTCAGCTTCTTCCCGAGAATTGGCGGAACTTCCAGGACAGCCGCCTGGCCAGGCCCCGCGCCGGAGTGGCAGGGCTGCCTGCCGCGGCCTACTCAGCCCCTCTCGCCTCTGCCTGCCACATTTTCAGCCAAAGAATCCTTTTTCAGCACGGATATTAATCAGAATAAAAACTTTATTTTTTGTTTTGTTTCTCAGAATGTGAGCAGCAAGGAATGTAGAACTCTCAAAACAAATCTAGCATTTTTCACGTTTACAGATTTTTTTTTTTCAGTTTTGCTGGATGTTACAAACCTAAGTCACTGTTTTCAAACGCTGGATCCGCTCTGGTTTTATTGCATCATTACCATCTTTATAAAGGAATTATATTTCCCTTTGAAATAAAAAATTTTATATGTACGCCAATACACTATTGAACAAAAGGCCCAAGAAACCTTCTGAACAACCAGGGTACACAATTTCTTTAATATAAATACGAACGGATGGGGATAAATAATATTTAAAACTTAGACTATTCAATGCTTGCAAAAAAAATATAAATAAATCTGACTGTTCACCAGCATACACACACGGGAAAGACGTACACTTAATCATCCTTGCACAGGGAACCCCTGTTTCAAAGCGCCTTTGATTTTTTTCTCGCTCTTTACAAGAAGTGCAATTTTAAAAACTAAAAATTAAAAAAAAAGTAATTGCTTCCTCTCGGGAGCCATAAAGTACGAACAAATTCACATTGAAAACTCGACTAGAAAATTTGTTCATATACCCTGTTTCTGATCAAAGAATGAAGAAGGTAAAGGGTGCAGGGCCAGCGACGGAGCGAGGGGCGGGAAGAGATAAATATCGCTACTGATACTGACAGCCATTCCAGCAACCAAGATTGCTACGTCACATAAACTATAAAAATGCATTACCAAAGAGAACAAAACGGGGAAGAGGGGGAAAGGGCGGGGCAGGAAGAACCTAAAACAAGAAAGAAAAAGAAAAGGAAGGGCGAGGGAGGGGGACTCTCCTGGCACGCAGCCCCGAGCCCACCATCACAGGTGGGTGAGTTTGGGCGCTTCCTGAATTCTTCCCTGAGAAGGATGGTGGGCTGTAAGGTCCGTGTAAGTGGGATGAGGCTCCCCTGGCCCTGGCCCGTGATGGTGACCGCTGCCCAGTGGCCCGGCGCCCCCGTAGTCCATGGTGGCCGATGCATGGGGGAGGTGAGTTAGGCCGAAGAGAGTCGGCCCAGAGTTGCTCATGGGCTCCACATAGCTGCCCCCCACGAAGACGGGGCTTCCCTGTAAGTGTGGAGTCCCATAGCTGCCGTTGCCCTGCAGGCTGTGAGCGTGCGGGTCATAGTCGGGGGTGCCTCCTGCGCCCGCCCCCGCCGTCGCATAGCGCTTCTGTGGAGGAGGTGGGGGCGCACAACTGGGCAGAGGCGCGGGATAGGAGGTGGGAGGGAGGCCGTAGGCGCCTTGGGGAGGCTTAGAGAAAGGTGGGGGCGACTGGGGCTCATAGGGGACGCTGTTGACTAGCGAATGCATAGAGTTCAGGTAGCTGCCAGCGCCTGGGGGCACAGGGCTGCGACTTGGGGACTGGCCCCCGGATGACGTCAGCATGCCCTTGCCCTTCTGATCCTTCTTGTATTTCATGCGGCGGTTCTGGAACCAGATTTTGATCTGGCGCTCCGTGAGATTCAGCAGGTTGGCCATCTCTACCCGGCGCGGGCGGCACAGGTAGCGGTTGAAGTGGAATTCCTTCTCCAGCTCCACCAGCTGGGCGCTCGTGTAGGCCGTACGCGCGCGCTTGGACGAAGCCTGCCCAGGCGGGCTCTTGTCACCAGCGCAGCTCTCGCCTGCCAGGACAGAGAGGAAGAGCGGCGTCAGGGGCTGCCTGCGGCCCCGCCCCGCTGCTGACCCAGCCTGGCCCCTCCTTTCTTCAGATCCTACAGATCCCTACTGCTGTCAAGGCCCTGAGAGGAGTAGGAATTAGGTGCAGTCCTGTCCCCTGGACAGGAAAACAGTGCAAATAGCTAGTACTGCATTTAGCTAAAGAGCAAATTTAGGCCAATCGTGGTGGCACATGCCTACAATCCCAGCACTCAGGAGACTGAGGCAGGAAGATTTCTGCGGTTCAAAGCCAGCCTGGATTACAGAGTGTGTTCTAGTCCAGCCTGAACTGCATAGCAGAAACCCTGTTTCAGAAAGACCAAAAAACAAAACAAAACAAAACAAAAAAACCAACCAAACAAAAAAGTATAGACTTCTCCAAGGGGGAAAGAACAAAAAAAGTAGAACCCCCAGTTTGCCTTCAGTCTCTATTTCCTTTCTGGAGTTACTTTCTCACTTATTTACTGGTTCTCTAGACCCATCAGACAAGAAGCTTCCTGTTGGCAGGTCTTACATCTTTATTCCCTTCACAGTAACTAATATGTGAGTCACCTAAGGCACACCCTCAGACCTTTACCTCCCTCACTGTCTTGATTGATTAGGCAGTAACTTCTACCTGCCAATTTAAAAATCTACTTACAGGAGACCAGCAGAGCAGAAACCCCAAACTGGAAGGCCTTCTCTGGCCAAAGGAAGCAATCCCATTGAAGGTATCTACTTCTGTTGGGGAGACCCAGCCCCCTCAAAGGGTCCTACTCATTAGAACTTTTCATGTCATCCAGCAGCCTGCCAAAGCTTTGCCTGCCACGCTTGTACCCTCTTACCCGCCCCCCAATCCTGGCTCTGGAGGGCCCAGTTGCTCAAGCTCAGAGCAGAGAGTTGGCAACTGGAAAAGACAAGGGCAAAGGTAAGCTAGATGCTAGGAAAAGCCCGGGGAAGGTGGGGGGTAGCTTTCTTCCACTACAGTCCAGTTCCAGGAGGCCCATGTGGTTCCCATTAGGATGACAAGCCAACCTTCCCCCTTCCCTGGCTGATTTCATTGCACGAAGTCTGAGCAAAGCCTTCCCAGAGGTAAGGCAGCCACTCCATCTGCTGGAGCAAAAATTGGCTCTGATGATAGACAAAGCATTAATTCTGATTTGGAGAGTGATTAGGCCTAGTTTTACTCTGTACATTTCAGTATCAGGAGAATATCACTGTTTTATTAGAATAACGGAGCTGTGCTAAAATAGATAGTGGAGCTCAGCATGGCTCTGCCCAGAGATCAGAACTTCAGAAATGAAACAAGGAGAGACTCCAACTCCACTAGGTTATGCTTGTCCTTGGAGAGGTCCAGAGAAACTCTCATCAGGTCTCTGGAGTTTCTTGGCTAACAAAGGCCTTATTTCCCTAAGTTGCAAAGATCCTGAAAACCTTTTTTGGGGGGGGCAGGGGTGAATTTCTGGGAATTTTCCAGTGCTCCCAAACTGTGCTGTTGTGGTTAGATCTTAGGGTCTGGAGCCACGCCAGAGGACCCTCCTTCAGAAAGTACCCCTTTACCTGAGCTGGAGCCGCTGGTTTTCTGCTTTGTGTTTTGCCTTGACTCTTTCATCCAAGGGAAGATTTGTTTGGCCACGGTGGGCGAGTTGAGCAAGGGGCTCTTGGCTGCGCTGGCTGGGGTGGGATTGCTGCTGGCACTCTGAGGAGGGGAAACAGAAGAGGCAGGCGGAGGGGCTGCAGGGGTGGGCGCAGGGGGCTGCGGTGGAGGTTGGGGTGGCTGGGGGGCTGGTGGTGCGGCCTGGGGCGGAGGTGGGGGAAGGGGTGGGTCGCCTAGGCCTGGGGGCTGGCTGGACGGGCCGCTCAAGGTGCGTAGACATGCTTCGCTCAGTTCATGTGCCTTGGGATGGCCCCCCGCACTGGCGGGTGACTGAAGTGAACAGGCCGGTCGGTGGTACTCGCCATCGGCTCCCAGAGCGGCAGACGCCGCATAGGGTTGCTGACTGGCATTATAAGCGAACCCATTGGTTGCCTGGTAGGGGTAGGCACCGTAGATCGCTGAGCTGTCGTAGTAGGTCGCCTTTTGCATCGCGTTGTTTCAGGTTCTTGATCGCACACTCTGACAGGGGCTTGACACACGTGAGGGCGCACATTGGCACGCCCCCGCGGTCACGTGACACTCCGCCGCCAATGGCCGCCCCGCGCAGACCTGGTGGGGGGGGTAGAAGCGCAGCGCAGTGAGGGCTCTGCGCAAATCCATCTTACTCTCAATAGCTAAGTGACATGAAAGCCATAAAAGAAAAAGTGGTCAGCAATATTTAGCAGCACGACTTGGCCCCGGGCGCAGGGAGCCGCACTATAAAAAGCCGCTGGAATTTACTGGCAGCTACAAATATTTGCTTAACTTGCGTCTGGAGTTGGGGGATTTTCCGGGGAGAGAGGAGAATGAGTGAGGGCTGGAAGCCGAGTCTCTGGAGCCGAGGTCCAAAAGGAGAAAGGCCTGGTAGGCTGCAAAGAGCAAGGTTGGGATCTTGCTTTTCCAGGGAAGAAGAAATGTGGTTATCCCTCTGTCTCCGCTCCTTGGCAGCATCCAGAGGGCATGAGACTCTCCTCTCTGCGGATCTTGGGGAACTGGCAAGGAGCCCGGGTCACCAGTTTTTTCTCCAATCCCTGCTTTAGGACTAATACTTGCCAAAACAGCACTGAGATGGGGTGACTTCCCCTTGAGCTCTTTCTTGGTCTTTCCTGCCCTCAAAAGAGGTTTACAGTAAAAATATTTTTAGGTAGTTACCCTATTAGATCGTGTTGGATTTCAGGAGCTGAGCTTCTTAGGCAGTAAAGTCTACCCCTGTTCAGGGATAGGGCCCACCTCCTCCAAATGAGATCCTTGTGGCCAAAAAGAGGAAAAAGCAAACTGGGTGGAACACAAGATGTGTGTATGTGTGTGTGCTGGGGGGGGGGGGCAACAACACTCCCATCCAGCAAGTCACAACTCAAACCCTGGGTAGTTCTTTGCTCTTTTTCTCTTTCTGTTTCTCAGGCACTTCACAGCAAGTCACCCCAAGTGTTTTCCCCAGTTATAGGAGGTTCCCAGACCCTTCTGACTTGTACTTTCTGAGGTGCTGTTATTCAGGGCAACTATCAAATTCTACCTGTTAAAACATGATGGATTAGAGAAAAAAAACAACGCACCAGGAACCTGAAAAACCAGCGTTCATCTCCATGACCACGGCTTGAACTCTTCTTCCAACGAAACGATAATAGGTTCTGTCTTAGAAACTGCTATGTAATTTGATGTATGGGGGTCATTTGGCTCCGGACAAGGCATGGAAGCACAAGCCATAAAATCCTGCCAGAGTTCCCTGATCTTTGTGGGCTGCTGTTGTTGATATTTGTTACTTGCCTATTTACCTGCTTCAGAAACACCAAGGGTGACACTGAAAATCTAAAAAAGTAATTAAAAACCTTCTCAACCCTCTTTTATTTGGGAAGTTTGCAGAAGTGAAGTCTATTTTCAGCCTTTGTACAACCAGTCTCTAGTTTTCAGCAAAAGTTCCATGTGAGTTTCATATATTCACACACACACATACACACACAGAATGTTAGTTCCTCTGATCATTAAGAAAACTGTAAGAACAAATTCCTGAAGAAAATGGTTTACACTTCGTGCTTTATGTATATTGAGTTTCAGAGTTATTCAAGTTTTCCAAGAACAGCAGATGTTAACTAGAAAAAATAACATAATAAGCGTTTACCAGTGGATGATTATAATTTTGTTTTTAATAATGTACTCTCATAGATTTCATTATTAAACCAACAGTCAGACCAACATCTGGGAAACAAGGACAATTAATTTTCCAGAACTTCAATTAAAAACTAAAGTATCCCTTACCCAGAGTTACTGTGCCTGAGCATGAGCCCTGAAGTATTATCTTTTAGAAATAGATGCAAGGTATAGATACTAAGATAGAAAACAACTAAAGGATAGGATAAAATAAAATTTAAAATTGAATAGCAATTTGATGTCTCAGTTTCCTGTTCTTCCGCTGAAAACAGTTCCTATTACATTTGGCATTGTTAATTTGCCATTATAAATGTTTAGATACTAAACTTATACTGTATGGAATAAAAATGTCAGGTGAAGAAAATTACTCTAGACACTTGAACAGCAAGATATTAAATAAAACAAAATTAACTTGATTTGAACATGCAAAATTTCTAGTGACTTGCTAATCTATTGTCACAGGCTACACCAGCCCGATGCTTACTTAAACCTTTTCACCAGCTTGTGCATTGTGTTGTAGAACAACAAAAATACCTTTAAAAATCAAAGAGCATACAACAGCCATATAAAGTTAAAATGTGACCTCAACTCGGAGATTCCACCAAAGTCCTTTCTATTGTTTGGGGACTTCGATCACTTTGGAACTCACACAATTCCCCCATAATCGGCCCCCAAAGTTTGCAACCTAGTAAAGAAGTTGGAGATCTGCCAACAGGGAAAGTTTGCTTTATACCCCTAAGCAAAGGCTGGGATGGAGGGAGATTCCTGGACAAAGATCTGCCTCTGGACAATAACCCCCAGGTGCAAGGGCTGAAAGAGTGCAGGAGGCGAAATTGAGTGCAAGAAGCAAGCCCTATTGTCTCTCTACAAGGTGTGCCCAAATTCGACCTCCTTGCTCCAGACACCTCTCCCTCGTTCCACTCCCTCCCCTTCCTTAGCTAGCCTTCACCCCGACTCTGAGCCGGACGCCGGACGTCGGGCAAGAGCCCCCGCGCCCCCTGTCCACTCCTCCCTCCCCAACGCAGAAAAGTTGAGGCTGGGCTAAGGGGAGAGCTAAGAGTGGGGGCGGGGATGGGAAAGCGGCTTGAACTCGAAGTGTAAGGGTATCAGTCACTGCCGGGAAGGAAGCTCCGGCTTGTGAACTCTTCTTGAACCGAGATTTAAGTCTGCAGCCATAAATCACTGAGACGTAAACTCCGCCATTCAGCGCCGAGAGCGGCCGGTTGTGGCCCTGCTTACCTTAACTTCTGACGAGCGCCGCGAGCGCAGGCTCAGGCTCGGGCTCCGGCCCCGGCCCGGCTCGGCGGCCCGGCCGGGTCCCCTCGGCGCGGGATGGGGACGGACCCTCAGCATCAGCCGA